CTGGGTCCAGGTGACCCTTGGGAGAGGGGGGGGATCTGTGGGCCCCAGTTCTGCAGCTGGGGCCAGGTGGCCCCGGGGAGGGGGAATAGATCATAGAATATCAGGGTTGGAAGGGACCTCAAGAGGTCATCTAGTCCAACCCCCTGCTCAAAGCAGGGCCAATCCCCAGACAGATTTTTACCCCAGATCCCTAAATGGCCCCCTCAAGGATTGAACTCATAACCCTGGGCTTAGCAGGCCAATGCTCAAACCGCTGAGCTATCCCTCCTCCCTATACTGGCCCCAGTTCTGCAGCCTGAGCCGGGGGGGGTCTGTGGGTCCTGGGCCCGGGTCTGCAGCCTGAGCCAGGTGGCCCTGGGGATGGGCTTGTGGGTCCTGTCCTAGACTTTGGGCTGAGGGGGCCCTGTGGGTCCTGGGACGAGATGCTGTGACTGCAGCCTGCTATGTGTGGGTGGGCTGCCGTTCCTGGAGAGCAATGCTCCATCCTTAGCCAAGCAGCTCGCAGGGGCTCCCGGTCCCAGCAGGTGTGACTGACTCACGCTGGCTGAGCGACTTGTCCCAGGAAGGTTTGCGGCGAGCTGGGACTGTAGATGCGACAGGCTGCCCTTGTGCATTAAGAGTAATCTCCATTCTGGTCAAGATGGGACCCAGTGCAAGGTGGGACCTGGAGTCTCAGGGCTGCATCCCCATAAGGGGCAGTTGCAAAGTGTTCCATTTCACATGAGTCAGGTGTGGCCCTCTGGCTCCCAGGGAGAGGCCAACACCCCCCATCATAGGTGTGGAAGGGCAGGCACCTTCAGTCATAGAGTTCAGCCTCCTGCTATCACAGGCAATCCTATCATATCATCCCATTCATAAACTTAAAGTAAACTTGGCCTTGGTTGGGCAAAGGGTGTGCGCGCATCCTACTATGCAAACTTAATGGAAGAGTGCTTGTTTGTACAGCAGCCATCTGGCTTTGTCTGATTCTGCCACCCTCACTCAGGGTACTGACTAGTCAGTTTCACTGTCTGGTCCTCATGCATGGTGATGTAATGCGTATACTGCAAACATGGCAACAGGAAGTCCTGCAGAGGAATGTTTGAATTCTGACAAGAAAGAGTTTTCATAGGCTTTTAAAACACAGGTCCTGTCTGCCCCAATATGTCTGCTCAGAGTCAGGGGTTGCCCTCTGCATTCTTAATCAAAATACCCGCTCTCTGCACATGTGTGGGTGCTATGCATCTGGCTGTCACCCTTCCTTTGTGGAGGTAGCTACATTTCAGAGAGCTATCTAGACATACATTCATGAGTTCTCAGCTCCCATTTAGTCACCAAAATAAGTGGCTAGATTTTCAAAAATGCTCAGCAGGAGGGGTGCACATTAGGTGCTGAGCTCTTTTGAAAATCCACCCCCAAGTATTGAGTTTGAGCACTTGAAAATCCAGCCTTGAGGTCAGCCTCCTAGAGTCTGTGACTTGCTCTGGGATCTCCCAAGGTGAGGTGCTAAATAAATATAAAATTGTATTATCCTCTGGCAGTGAACAGCATTATACAGTTGAATGGAAGGCTCTGGGAAGACTCATTTGCTGATATCTTGATATTTGTTGCAGGAGCAGGATGTATACGCTGCTGTCTGGACTTTATAAGTACATGTTCCGTAGGGATGAGTACTGCATTTTGATCCTTGGGCTGGACAATGCGGGGAAAACGGTATGTGCTTTTAGTTACCCGTTAACACGGAGGGCACATGCAGCCCCACTCACTCCTCCCCAAAAACACAACTGTGTTAGCGTGGCCAATTTCTTCCCTGGTGTCACTTCAGTTGTTTCAATGGTGTTATCCCAAGTATGAATTTGACCCCCACGCATCTAATTTTAGTACAATAAGCCTTCAGAGAGACAGAAGCATGGGCTTCTTTAAGCACATAATCACCTGTGAACTCTTCCATGGCTCTGTGCTGTAATGGGAAAACTAAGGGCTGTGTTGTGTTCTAAGATTTCATGGAGAATCCTGATCCAATAGGGGGAGAACAGGTCTTGGATAGGATTGTCCTTGCCAATAAAGTGTATCTAATACTAGCTAGTTTTATTTCTTCTTCCCTTCCAGACCTTCCTTGAGCAGACTAAAACCCGATTTAACAGGACCTACAAGGGGATGAGCTTATCCAAAATCACTACCACTGTGGGCTTAAACAGTAAGTGAATCCGTTTAGAGGTTCTTTGCCGCCTCCTACAAAGTTAGACAACTAGTGATCATTCCAAGAGTTTACACTGTGAAAATAATTCCTGATAAGAGCAACCCGACCAACACCCCACCTGCCCACACACGCTTTAAAGAGCAAATGGACTTCTCCATCAGATGGAGAAAACATGCTGGATCTGAAGGCGAGGGTGATGATGCTAAGCCAAATTCGGCCCTGTAACGTCATTGAGGTTAGTTAGCCTGATTCGGATCTTATTTACACTGGTGTAACTCCACTGAAATCAAAGGGTTTGTATCTGCTGCTGCCAAGGTGAATTTAACCCGCTAACGATAGGTACTACTATCCTGCTGAGAATTAACAGCGTGTGTGTTGACTCTTCCAACCTGCCTTCCCTCTTGTGGGACTCTGCCGGCATGCCTGCTTGAGAGAATAGTCAGTCTGCATTGGGTTATTTTTTCTTTTTTCCCTGCTCTAGTTGGTACTATTGATGTGGGCAAAGCCCGGCTAATGTTCTGGGATCTTGGAGGGCAGGACGAGCTACAGTCCCTCTGGGACAAGGTAGGGGAAATAACTTTTCTATTTTAAATGTTTTGTGTCTCAGAGTTGCAGAGAAACAAGAACAGGAGTACATATATGCATCCGAAGAAGTGGGCTGTAGTCCATGAAAGCTTATGCTCTAATAAATTTGTTAGTCTCTAAGGTGCCACAAGTATTCCTGTTCTTTTTGCGGATACAGACTAACACGGCTGCTAGAGAAACAAGGTTACTTTATAATTAGCCAGCCCTGCTCCTTAGCACTGCCCCTTGTGCTGTTGTCCCACTTGTCTGAGAGTCACAAAAATTAATATTTAACAGTTACAGATAGTTTTACAGACACTAACTACTTCTCACAGCACCCATGTCAGGTAAGTATCACTATTATCACCCCTATGTAACAAGTAGAGGAAATTGGGACAGAGCTTAATTAACCCAGAGGTTGTTATGTGCACAAAACCACAGAGAGACGTGGTAGCCTAGCCTGGATAGCTTCTTAAAAGATATGTTATTAAATGTAAAATAGGGATATTGATCCTGACTTTCATTATATAGTGCTTCTCACCCACAATCTCAAAGTGCTTTACAAGAGCTAGATATTATGGCTCAAACAGGAGTTACGGGTCTGATGCAAAAATTATTGGGAGAGCTTCTCTGGCCTGTACTACAGGAGGTCAAGTAGTCCCTTGTGGCCTTAAAAATCTATGAAAGCCAGTATTAGAACTCAAGAATTCTTGGCTTGACCATGCCTCTTGGTTATTACAGCACTGTGCAAAAGTAAAGTCTGTAACTTATCAGCACCAGTCTCCATCCCTAAGAACCCTGCGTGCTGGGCACTAACCTCTCCAGCAGAGTCCTGGGTCGAGTTCTAAGCTACATTGCCAGGAAGAATTATTACACACCCTTCACAATGGCATCTGGCAGCTGTCCAATGTAAAAATTGAATAAATGTACCTGCTGGTCAGCCAGACAAGCCACCTTTACTGTTGGGTGTACTAGTCTGACAATAAACGGATCCTCATGACTGCCGGATCCATAGTTAACAAAACACTTGACTAAACATACTTTGTACCATGCGCTAAAAGCCACCCAATCCACACTGTGGTGAACTGTTGGATGAGGCCAGCTCAACAGACTCAAATCTGTTTCCTGGAGTTTTGTCACCTCTACGTAGCCCTTTGTGAATTTGTGCACATCAGAAAACATCCACACAGCTGAGTACCGCTGTTGGGCTCTGCCTAAGAGAGCCTGTGGCACTGGAATAGCACAAGGTATTGTAAGTTGTGATTGAGGTGTATTGGCAGAATTCAGTAGGAGGAGCAGGCAGTGCATCTTACCTGTCTGGATAGAGGAACTTCGGCAGATCTGTGGGGATGGAGCGTGCAAAATGAACTGCCGGACGGTGCCTGGCTAAGCTATTTGATCTCAGTCCGTCTCTTTCATGAGTACCAAAAATCATATTAAAATCACATCAACATTGAAAAGAGAAGCAAGCAGCCCCAGCTGTTCGATGCTAACACCTGTGCTGTGATTTCAGTACTATGCTGAATCCCATGGGGTCATCTATGTAATCGACTCCACTGATGAAGAGAGGCTCTCGGAATCTAAAAGAGCTTTTGGTGAGTATGCTGGGCTTTTACCTGTTATGTACTTTTCATTATATCCTATGGAAACTTCCTCTTATTTCAGTAAACCCCTTCGGGCCACTCTGATTGAAATATACAGTTGATTTTATTATGCATGTGACCACCTATGTGCATAGCATGGCTTGCAGACTGCGTGGTCATTCTTTGCAGGTATACGTTTTGAAATCAATGGGGCTGT